GTCGCGGAGAACCTAACGGGTAACCGGGGCTCCGGCTCGACGTGCAGGAGAAGGAACGGGGTGGTTTTTAGTCAGTAAGAGTCTGACACTCCCTCCCGCCTCACCCAGGCGGGAGCAGTCATTCGATGATATTCCCCCCTTAAAAAAAAATCTATAATGACTGACAATTAATAATTAATAAATAATTGCAGGACGCCTTGAAAATGTATCACGGAGTAGACGAAGAAGCAATCGCTCCGTTGGACCAGAGAGTGCAGCTGGAGATGAGTCCGGGAGACACCGTGTTCCTGCATCCTTACTTACTGCACGGGTCGGGGCCTAATGTGTCTAAGGTAAGGTCTGGTCAGGATGTCTACATGCACGTTATACTTGCTTCTACAATCGATATCAAAGCCAAAAATATAGTTTTTAGATTTTTTGTCTGTTTGTCTGTATGTATGTCCGGGACGAACTCAAAAAGTACTCATGTATTTATTTAAAATTTTGTATGAATATTAATAACAGCTCGGGTTAATACTTGCCTCGTTGGCCGAGTGGTCGCAGATGCGACTGCCGAGCAAGGGGTCCCGGGTTCGATTCCCGGGTCGGGCAAAGTATTACTGGGTTTTTAAAAAATTCTCAGTAGTAGCACGGAGCCTGGAATTGTGCCCGGTATATGGCAATAGGCTCACCCCCTATTACATGGGACTCATAACATAAATAGTGAAAAGTGGGTGTTACATTGTACAGTGGCATAATGTGCACCTCTGCCTACCTCTTCGGGATAAAAGGCGTGATGTTATGTTATGTGTTTATGTTATATTATCACGCTATCATCTACGGGGGAGGAGTAGTGTAGATGTAAAATATGAGAAATGTAAAGTCTAAAACACTTTATAAATATATTTGCAATGTTTATTTTACAGAACTACCGCAAAGCGATAACGTTTCACTTCGCGAACAGTACGTGCGAGTACATCGACCTACACGGCACCGTGCAGGAACATCTCGCCAAAGAAGTAGAGGCACAGGCTGCTAAGATGGGACTCGGGGAACTTAGCTATATTGTAAGTGTATACCACTGATATTATAAATGTGAAAGTTTCTTTGTTTGGATGTTTGACCGTCAATCACGCTGAAACTCAAAGTCAAAGTCAAAATCATTTTTTTTTTCATGGCATAAGCCGGTAAACGAGCAGACGGATCACCTGATGGTAAGCAATCGGCGTCGCCCATGGACACCCGCAACACCAGAGGCGTTACAATTCCGTGACCGGCCTTTTGGGAATTAGGAGTTTGAGGATCGTTGGGGATTCAGGGATTGGGGAGATTGGGGAAGGGGGGAGGGTAATTGTGCCTCCGGTAACCACACTCATACGACGGAACACAACGCAAGCGTTGCTTCACGTCGGTTTTCTGCTCGGCCGTGGTATCACTCCGGTCGAACCGGCCCATTCGTGCCGAAGCATGGCTCTCCCACACTTATATCATTTATGTCAATTACACCAAGAAGGCACTTTTGAACGGCTAAAACAAAAATCTAGAAGCTATTTGCTCGTTCCAAGGTGTAGATTCCTATGGAGAAGAACGAGCAAGAAACTCCATAGGTTACTCTTTTTCAATCAGGTTCACAATACAATTGTCTAGTTACATAGTTTTGTTGGTTCGATTGTGTGAGTACAATGCAACTCCTAAATCCAGTCAAAGATACTACAAGAACTACTGAATGGATTTAAAAATTTGGTATATAGGCAGGATGGGCTGACTTAGGCGATAGGATCCCACATTTTTTAACCCGCGCGGACGTAGTCGTGGGCAACAGCTAGTACATTAGTAGGTTAAACCTAAGTATTTACAACTAAATCGATTTTTAAGAAAATCGGTCACAAGGTAACTTAGAATCAGGACATGGAATAGTTTTATTGTAGACTAGCTTTTACCCGCGGCTTCGCTCGCGTCACAAAAGGATAAAAAGTAGCATATGTGACATATACCAATACTTTTGTTTTCCCTCGGGAATATCACATTTTTCCGGGATAAAAAGTACCCTATTATTTAATCCAGACTTCTAACTTTACGTCTGCAAAAATTCAAAGCAATCGGTTTAGTAGTTACTGCGTGAAAGTGGAACAAACAAACAAACTCACTTTCCAATTTATAATATTAGTAAGGATTTCCTGAAAATTGTATGCTAAATTTTATCCCGATTGAATGGTCTCTTGGGATACAACAAGAATTCGCGGACAAAACGTAAAAAAGCTAGTCTGAAATAAAGTAAACTACTTAAATTCGTACAGTTTTCCTGTGTATCAGTAACTTGGAAGTTTGGATCTAAAGCTTGCATAAGTCCTATTATAATAGGATCGAGAAGAACATAACTGACCTTTTTTTTAATGGGGGGGAAAATCCTCATGGACTGCCTCCGCCTAGGGAAAGGCGGAGGGGTGTGCCGAACTCTTACCGGCTACAACGACCCCAATGTCGCCTCGCGTGCGCGCGGGGCCGCGGGGTCCAAATTCATCCGCAGCCCCGCATTAAATATAACTAACCTAACCTAACTTAGGTTTAAAGAATTTATTTCTCATAAGAACAGATACATTGTTCACTTAAAATGAGATACAAAGGTTCCTTATCTTCTATGATACATATGACAAAATCCTCTAGTGCGGTAAGAAGTTACATTCATTTTATTTTAACGGGATTTACAATGTTTGTACATATTTCTTAAGTTTCGTTTTGAATGCCTTAATGTTATCGCAGTTTTTTATGTCATCTGGTAATCTATTGTTTAATACGCTTTTGTTTGAGGGAGCACATCTGTTTAGATGTGCTCCCTCAAACAAAAGCGTTTTTTTCCCACTTCAACTTGTTCAACTTCAAGAAATCTTTCATATTTCTAACTCCGTTTGGAATTTTATCAACATGATACTGTCTTTTCAGGATGTATGGCGTTTCAAGAGCAAGCAGGTGAAAGGAGTTCGTTCTAACTTGTAGAACACAAACAACAAAATATCTAAAGACTATCACACTTTAGTAGATTTTCCACTTTATTATAACAATGTAATTGCAAATTTGTATGACTCATCGTTAATCGTAACTCGACTGGTTTCAAACCTCACCCGCGGCCTATAGTCATGACATGAACAGCATACTAATACGGTAGTTGACAACTTGTCAAATTCATTACTTTTTTCGAACTGTCAAAAACGATACTGTTCTATGAATTTTGTACGAAATACCATCTGATGACGTCATCACTATTTTCGCTTCGCACTTATATATAAAAAAATGCTAGAATAAATCGAAAATTGAGTATATCGGCAATTCAATAAATGAAAGTGTAACTATTTTCAACCGACTTCAAAAAAAGGAGGAGGTTCTCAATTCGACCCGTATGTTTTTTTTTTTTTTTTTTTTCTATGTTTGTTACGCGATTACTCCGCCAATTATGAACCGATTTGAAAAATTCTTTTTTCGGCGTATAGGTAATACCTCAAGGTTGGTCCCATTTAAATTTACTAATAAAAATAACAACCCCCAAGGGTGGAAAATAGGGGATGAATTTATTTATACGCAATAACTCCGCCGATTTTAAACCAATTTGAACGATTATTTTTTTATTGAATAGGTATTATCAAAAGGGTGGTTTCATGCGAATTTGAAGAAAATATTTCACCCCCAAGGGTGGAAAATTGGGGGATGAACTTTTTTATACGCAATATCTCCGCCGATTATGAACCAATTTGAACTATTATTTTTTTGTTGAATAGGTATTATCAAAAGGATGGTTTCATGCGAATTTGAAGAAAATATTTCAACC